TCTACTTGTTTATGCTCAGTCTAGTTATAGCTGTCCACTATTTTCTGTAGTGTGTTGGGATTCTGCTAGAATGTTAGTATCTACATACATTAGAGAGGGTAAGTTCATAGGGAAACATTCATTCAGGCGTGTGCTGAAATGGAAGTAAAATGAACCAATAGAGGAAGAATGGGAACAGTGAGAACTATTATTTGCATTCAGAGTAGGAGTCGTGAGTTTAAGTAACTTTTGATTTAAAAGATAAAAATAAAAACTTAAGTGCAATAAGTGTACTTTGAAATTTAAAGCTGTGAATGGTTAAAAAAATCCACCTCATTCCTTCCAGATTGTTTTTTCCTTTTGTTTTCTGTGATTAAAGTGGCAGTGATCAATATAATTTAGGGTCATTCTCTCCCTTCTGGCTTTGAGGAGAGTTCATACATTCATGACAACCAAACTCCTTGGCTCACCTGTAATCCTTGCTTTTTACTTTTTTTATAAAACCAGTTTCTGTATGATAGCATCTATAGTCCCAAATAATTGCTATATTGTAAAGCTGACGTTGCCTGTTGGTTGTCAAGAAAGTGCTGAACACCTAATTTTTACAGAATAAAATTGAGCTTATTGTATTCCTAAGTAGTGATGCTCTATATTTCAGTACAGAGCATATGAGGATATATTGTGACCGAATTACGTAGTCGTTGAGACTGAGCACTAGATGCCCAACTACTGGACTGCAATAGCCCTTCTAACCTAAGCAGAGGAAGTTTGCTTTTGTAACCAGCACCTCTTTGGGTTATTAGGGACCAGTGATGGGTAAAAAGATAGTTTCTAAGCCGCTGAAAATCATAAAGTCCCTGATTTTCTGTTGTGTCTGGAATACAAAAAAGGCTTTATCTTCTTTACACTATTTTCCTAAAAGAATTTATATAAACTGTTAAGTGCTTGATATGGGTTGACCTTTTTCCCTTTTCAACTGTGCTGCTTCTCTTCAATTAGGTAGGGAAATTGCACTAAACTGGATATTCTCTCCACTGCATCATTGGAGAATTTCATTCCAATGACTTCTTACCACGTGCACTAAATGTTACTCTCTGTGTATTAATCATCACTTCAGGGATTTGCAGTCATAGAGAACAATAGAGTTGTTCATGATTAGGACTCTGTTGTATTGATAGGAAATGTCTATACAGGAGTGTGGAGATGGTATAGATACTAAGTCCTTTCCATAGGCTTTCCCTTACAACCTTTAAAGTGATGAGCAGGGAACCTTTGTGTAGAATTTGTCCAGCCTAAAACACTGTAAAGTTAGATCCTATGGAAGTCACTGCAAAGATGAACCCAAAAAAAAAAAATGCTGAATAAGGTTATTCTAGCATTGTACTGAAAAGGAGAAATGTGCTTAATTAGTGCAGTGAAAATTTATCTCAACGTTGTATTCAAGATTTTTTTCCCCACAAATGTTTCATCCTCCAAAACTCTGCAATTTTGACTCTTCCTCTTTAAGAGACAATATTTTTTTAAAAAAGTAACAGTTAAAAACAATGTTTATAAGGACTGCATTTATTTTTAATTCACAGGAAAATATATTTTCAACTTTGTTTTATTGATCACTGCGTTTTCCCATCACCCAGCCTTTCCTTTTCTCCAGTTGTTGACTGTAAAAGCTTATACAGATTTCAGTTAAAATCCTCTAGCATAAATTCCTTTCATTTGTATTTTGAGCTTTTTTCTCTCATGTAAATTTGTACAGTGGGAAATATTGTCCAGTTTGGTTTAGCGAGCATGGAGACATAAAATTTAAAAAAAAAATGACAGCTGAAAATTAAGACTGAAGAACTATTTGTGTAAAGTTATTTAAAGAACTCTGTATTATAAAAGGTTAAAAGTTATATGTATTTGATGTGAATATTGCTATAATAAAGATTGACTGCATGGAGAACACTTTGCATGAAATCATTAATAAGAGTTATATTTGCAGCTACATTACATGCTCTGCAGCTTCAGAGCATGGATCAGATTTGGAGAGATCTTATTCAGCAGGTAAATGAGGAAATCCAGAGCTAGCGATTCTAACAAACAACTGTCGAGACATTTTCTTGAAGAGCTCCAGCAATGAAATATTCTCTGCTATCCGTTTTAGGTGGCTGATTACACTACCAAATCACTCTTAGTTTTTACTGCCACCTGTAACTGAAACCTCTCTGACTTAATTCTGGTTTTTTAGAACATGAAATTTGTTTTTGTTTTTGTTTAAATAATCTGGTTTTCATGTAGGAAAGGGCAGTAACATTCTCATTTTTTCCAGGGGTAAATGTACCCTGCATCTGATTTGAAACCCCTTCCACTTTGTTTATATTCTTCATTACAAGTGCTACAGAACTACTTTTTTTTTTTAAAGGGTAAGAACTGTTTGCTGGGTTTCCATTATAAATAAAGCACAAATTCTCTCTTATTGCCATGAGTTTTGTCCCAAAGCCAGAATATTTCATTTTTTGTGTACAGATCCTTGAAAATAATGTACTCATGTAACCTGGACAAATGAGCAAAGCTTGAAGAAGTTCGGCAATGCAGTTTGGTGTAAAACTTCATAGCAAGTTTTTGCTTTACTCAGCAATAAAAAAATGTGCTTTTTAAATTTTAATTTAATTTAAATTTTAAATTAAAGTCTTATACCAAACTGCATTGCCTTAAGAAACAACAAATGAAGATAAACAGGTTGGCAGTTCTTAACTTGAATGTCTCTGGCAGTTTTTATTCCTCTTTTGTAAGAACTTGGCGTAGAATTCTAGCAAACCGATCTTAAAGAAGAAAAAAAAAACTGGTCTGGATAACAATAGACTCATGTTCCGGTTTCTCCATAAGGAAAGCAAACAAAAGATGAAGCAAGCATATGGGTGGGGGAAGTTCCTGCTTTTAAAAGAAACTAAAGCCGAGTGTTCCCCTGAAACCCCTCACGCCTAATGACAGAGCCAGGCCTTGAGGGACTTCAGAACATGTTTCAAAACAGTAAGATGCATAATGAACAGGAAAACAAGATATTAAAGTATAATGAGTGCATCTTAATTATTCTTCTGAGGAATATTTATAATAGAGAAGCTACCACTATGTCCCCTTAGGGCAGGGGTAGGCAACCTTGGCTCTTTTATGACTCGTGGACTTAAACTCCCAGAGTTCCTGAGCCAGCCGTGGCTGGCTCAGGAATTCTGGGAGTTGAAGTCCACGAGTCATAAAAGAGCCAAGGTTGCCTACCCCTGCCTTAGGGAATATGCAGAGGCGTAGCGTGGGGGGTGCAGGGGGGGCCGGCCGCACCGGGCGCAACATCTGGGGGGGCGCGCTCGCACTCGCAGCTCTCTGCCCCTGCCTGGTTCACTCACTCTCTCTGCAGTGCTGGCTGTGCGAATCCGATCCGAGCCGCCGGGTTGCTGCCCACTGTGGAGGGGGGGGCGCAAATTACTTGCCTTGCCCCGGGTGCTGACAACCCACGCTACGCCACTGGGAATATGTCACTATAAATAAAATAAAAACTACAAAACTGAATTTGAAGAAATAGAGACTAGTTCAGAAGGACTAGTGAGACCAGAGTTTATGTACTGTAATTAATTTGAACAGCAAATATAAGAACCACCAAATTGAAAGATGGCGGAGTTTTAGAACTAGAAACCAACACGCTAAAAAATTAAAATATGCCAACCACACTACTAAAATAAGCAACACTTTAAAAAGCTTATTCATGTAAAAAGAAAGCAAAAAAAACCCTAGTTAAGAATTATTAATATCAGTTAGCATAATGACTTAATTTAATAAGGTATGGTTTTTTCCCTTCCTTGGGCTTAAGAATAAAGATAGTATGAGATTACCCATATGGAAGAATGATAAATTTAGTGAAGTTCATAATAGATGTTTCTATCGAGACCCAAAGAGTTAAAACTGTTTTTACCAGTCATAATACATACACCAAAGAAAGCTGTCCATAGAGAAAAACAGACCATCTTCACATTATGCATTTGTAGATCACCTCTAACAGTACTGTAGTCTGCAAATAGAACTGATTATTTCATGAAAAACTAAGCTGTTGACCCAAGTAAAAATGAGTACACAAAGAGTAAAAAACAGTAATTTATACAGTGAATGGATGGAAGAAATCTCTGGTCTGTCATTGAAAGAATTAGTTATAGTATTAAAGCCAAGGCAAGGCAACTAGGAGGATAATATCTAATTACAGTAGGGGCCAAAATTGTGGAAACCTTTTGGGAAAAGTGTACAGTAGAAATGCCACCTTTGGTTAAGTTTCCACCAATTTTTCTTCTAATTTCTTTATAGCTGTAGCCTTGTTCACTTAATAATACTATTTTACGTTGCTTTCTGGGTGACCAGTCAACTCTTTGCACCATTACTTTAATTTTATTACGTTTTACAAGCTCACTAAATGAAAGGGGGAAAAAACCTAACCAACTTGATAGTGATCACATAACACACTGATAAATGTCCTCCTCTCAGCTTCAATACATGACATCAATAACTGAATCCTACTGTGATCTGATTGACTCTGCCAAAACAAGATGACACCTGATTGGCTCTCTAAACACTCATGCTCATTGGCTACAATCAGATGAAGGAAAGCTACCTGATATCAACCTAAGCAAGTTGTGCTTCCTTTTTCTGATTATTTGGCTATACCTTTTCATAGAATACAATACATATAATTGAACAATGTTGCATTACATTCTTGATTAAATTATCTTTCCATTGATATATAAGTTTATGGCACTATTCCAAAAAAACCCCTCAAAAATACACTTTTCCCAAAAGGTTTCCACAATTTTGGCCACTACTGTATATCAATGAAACAGTTCTTAAGCAGGAATTGGATGTATAACCAGAGACTTGATGACCTCCAAGGTTCCTTCTAACTTTATTATTATTATTATTATTAGAATTAGCTCTGAATGTCTTTGTTTTTAAATGCAACACAGTGAAATATTGGGAAAACGTAGAGAGTGTAAAATAAAACACGTGATCTGTCTTTATAATTTATTAGTTAAAATTCATATTCTTATGTAAAGCAAAATATTTTCTGTGTATATCCTTCCATAAGTCTATAAGCAATGAATACAAATAATTTAGTTGAATCTGCTGTTTAAGCACATTTAAATAATTAATCAAACTACATTTGAACAAGACACGCAGTCTACCATAACACAGTTCCATCCTTGAGACCAGATTCTAAATACTGCTTCAAGTGTTTTTTTAAGTCTGCTTACTGTTATTTAATTTTTAAAAAATGTTATGTTGATGTTCCACATCTGAATAATTCCTAGTATTATTAGGAAAATAAATAGGCTGAAACAAAATACAAGGTGAAACAGGATGGTGAAATATGCCCCTATAAGTGGGTAATAAGAAATAGCACTGCAGACATTTCTGGTGTAGTTCAATTTTAATGTGATATTCCTTATTTTGCAACAGTAGATTAAGCAAAGTAACCTATTTTAAGAGCCACTTTGAAATCACATGTTTAATATTCATCATCTGGAGGAATTCCTAGCTCTTCATCTGTCCACAAAGAAGGATCTGGGTAAGGAAAGTGACCCTGTTAGGGAAAAATAGAAAGTTGAACATTTTAGGTTACTTTCCCAACAGAAAATTGTTTCACAGCCTTGAGTCAAGCACTTCTGCAAGCAGACAAAACCAGATAATCCCAGCTTTGGAGCATAGCTGTAATCCAATAATACTTCAGGGACACATAAAAGTTTATATACAGCTTTCTTCCCCTTCCAAATTCAGCCTCCCAACGTTGATTCTTTTTTTTAGAAACTGTCAAAAGCAGATCACTCAGTATGACAGAATTGGTGTTTTGAGAAAAAATAAAATAAATCTGAGTAGAATTTTGCATTCCAATTTTAGGATACCAAATAATCTTAAAAAGCCATATTCAGCATTATTAGAAGTATATCAATTCTCTAATTTGTCTTTAATTAAGAGTTCTCTCATTAAGATGTGATCTTGTTTAGTCAGTCTTGGTCTGAACAGGCTACATTACATACATTCTATGGAATGGGATTTTTGGCTGATTCCAATTAATCAATACTGCAAGTGTCTGAATATAGGATTACAAACAATTATTTAAATGTTCAAGTCTCTGAATCCTATCTGCTGAATTCTCCCATCAATAAAGATTAGCAAACACAATCCAAGCCATATTTAACAAACACCACAGAAGAAGCTCGAAGCCATCACTGTAGCAGATAGGAAGAATAAAACAAAATACTAGCTGGCATGGGAATAATAGTAAGGGGACATGCTGTGCAAGAGTTGGAAACACGCTTTGTCCAAGCTTTGGTATCTTGTACAAATTCCCAAAGAAGCAAGAAATAACCATGTATAATCAAGGACAAGACTGCTCTTTTCCTAAATCTAATACTGTTGGTAATACAATATGCAGGAAAAAGTAATCTTATGTGCACAAATCAATATAATAAATTACTTGTTTGCCATCTCTAAGAGAACAAGTACAAAGCACTCTTCAGCTGGTTGGGATTTTTTTCCTATATACTCCAGGTCACGGTTTCTTCTACTCTTATGTGTACTACATAAGTGATCCACATTTAATGACCACTCATTCAGTGACCACTCAAAGTTAAGATGGCACTGAACATGTAGTAGTTATGACTGTACCTCGTACAGGTAGTTCTTGATTTATAACAGTTCATTTAGTGACTGTTCAAAGTTACAACAGCACTGAAAAAAGTGACTTATGACCGTTTTTCATACTTACCCACTGCAGCATCCCCATGCTCATGTGATCAAAATTTGGATGCTTGGCAACTGACTCATACTTATGACAGTTGCAGTGTACAGGGTCAGGTGATCATCTTTTGCGACCTTCTTATAAGAAAATTAATGGGGAAGCCAGATTCACTGAACAACCACGTTACTAACATTTCAGTTAAAATAACCTTTCTCTGTTTGACTTCCAGAATTTTTGACAGACAAATAACAAGTCTTCAATATTGACAATTCTGGTTGAAGCTGACGACACTTGAATAGAACATCTAGATGGTTTAAGTTGGGGTAAACCTCACTAGACAGTCACTTGTCTGAAACGGTATAGGTTCTCCTGCTCGAGCAGGGGGCTGGACTAGAAGACCTCCAAGGTCCCTTCTAACTCTATTCTATTCNAAAACTGTCTTTAATGCCCTAAAAGTCCTCCTAAGAAAGACTGTTAATGAGGAATATATGAGATAAGGTTGGAGGTGCATAGGGGTGATGGTTATTAGCTTGATGCTCCAGATAAGATTAAGTAGACAACGTGTTCCACTAAGTGAGCTCCTAGTCTGGGCAGCAGGATTCTACAAAGCTCTTGCATCTTGAGAGATAGAACATGCTCCTGTGGTTCATGTGTGTTAAAATAAACATGTGACACAAGTGAAACAGAATGGCCTTTCACCCAGCCATTATCTATATATATATAAATAAAAATGTAAATGTTCGTTTGTTCAAAATCTTAAATCTCTGAAAGTTCTTCACCGATTGCTTTGAAATTTTGACACAACGTTGCATTCGAATACGAGCGTTTTTATATACCTATATTATATAGATGTCACACCTGTAACAGGTAAAAACATGCTTTTTTGACAAGCATTGTGAAATTAAACATATTACAAACGTGCGCTTTCTCTTTTCTTTCTTTTCCATTTAACCAGACTGAGCCACAGCAACGCATGGCCGGGTACAGCTAGTATCACAATATATTCTGTGTTAAGAAAGCTATTGCTTTGCAGTAGTTTCCAATTTAACAGCTCTTACCAGCACTTCATCTGAGTCATGCCAGAAGCGCCACAAAATCCAGAACCACATGAGACTACTGGCTGCTTCACCTATTATCACTGAGAACTGTGGTGGTTGTACAAATTGGCGGTAGTGACTATTAGCATGTATATCTTCACTTGCCCTGCAAGACAAATACAAAGCAGCGAGCAGTCCTTTAATCTCAGTTGTGTATGTTTAGCAGAATAACAAGGAAATTGCAAAATAAGGTACTGAATGCAGGATTTTACTAAATGGGAATCCCCACTGTACTGCTTCATGGGACAGATGAGAAAACAGAGTGGCATAAAGTAGCTTTCTGTGACAGATTTGACTGGAATTAAACAATTTCAATACAACATATTCTGTATTTTGCCATTTATAAGCACACACCCAAAACACAATGCCACATTTCTAAAATGCTTTTTAGAGCATTCAGTACATCATACATTAGCTAATTAATCTTTGCTACCACTTAAACATGGATTTGTATGTTTACTATGATGGAAGAGAGGAGAAAAAGGAGAGAATTTAGAGAAGAAGAAAGAACTATTTTACAAGTATTTACTTCTGAAAAAGGCACCAAAATAAACTTCTATAAAGAATATCCATTCCCATTTCACTGAGACAGTAAATGTTTCAGAACCTACTAAGTCTCACTTCCTTGTGCAAACCAAGGTCCTTCTTTTACTTTGTGGCTATCTTGGATGCATATAACTAGGCTTGATTGTTATTATCTGTGTGATAGGCAGATATATTTTCCTCCATAACTTTGGCAGAGAAACAATCACCACATATCTGACACCCAATACGTTTGTGCCTTTTAATATTCTTAATGAATGTATTTGTGTATGTGCACCTTCAAGTCCAATTTTGATTCCTGCCAATTGCCTGGACTAGTTCCTGAAGACATTTTGGCAAGGTTTTGCAGAAGTGGCTTGCCATTGCAGGCTCCCTAGAGCTGAGAGAGTGACTGGCTAAGGTCAACCAGCTGTCCTCGTGTCTAAGACAGGTCTAAGACTTCTGTTCTCCCGGTTTCTAGCTTAGTGCCTTAAACATGCACAAAACATGCACAAAGCTTTTTCATAGGAGAGTAAATTTTCCCTTCTTTCCAAGTTTGCATGTTTGCCGTCTACAATATATGTTTGGAATCTATCCTGTGGCTTTTTCCTTTCCCATCGGAAGTGTTAAAAATTAATCCCTTCAAATGCTTGCAAGAAACAAAAGAACGCATAAAGCAGCACACTGATCTCTAGTATCATTGTGTATAACTCTAGGCCTAGTATGTATGTGTTTGAATTTATTTATTTGAATTTATTAACTGTCACCTCCCTTTTTCAACAGGGCTGGGCTCAATATGTATTTATTTAGAGTCACTTCAGTGAGATGAACAGCATAGAAGCTTAATAAATTTATCTGAATTTATTAGCTGCCCAACTACAAGGGACTCAGGGCGGCATCTAACAGTCTTAGGAAATTAAAAAAAAATAGTAGCAAAATTTACTGAAAGTGGGAAACAAGATATTTGAAATATTGGGGGTGTATAGAATGGGGATGAAAGCAAGCTTGCTGAAATTTTGCTCTGAGAAAACCTCGAGGGCTTTTCTCAAAATTGTAGGGGGGAAGCCATGTTAGTCTATGGTGACAAAAAAATAATAACCAGGAGTCTAGTAGCACCTTTCCCAGTGAGTTTCTTAATAGAAAGTTTTAAAGATGCCTTTTAATATTCCTTAATGAAAGCCTTTATGCTTTACAAAATTTTAGAACAGAGTAGAATAACAGAGTTGGAAGGGACCTTGGAGGTCTTCTAGTCCAGGGGTCCCCAACCCCCGGTCTGTGGACCAGCACCGGTCCACAGCATGCCAGCAACTGGGCTGCACAAACAAGCAAAGCTCCATCCTCGGGATGCAGGGAGTATTCAAAACCACACCCTGTCTGGTCCACAGAAAAACCTTTCTCCATGGCACCGGTCCCTGGTGTCCAAAAGGTTGGGGATCTCTGTTCTAGTCCAACCCCTGCTTAGGCAGGAAACCCTATGCCATTTCAGACAAATGGCTGTCCAGTCTCTTCTTTAAAACTTCCAGTGTTGGAACATTCACAGCTTCTGGAGGCAGGTTGTTCCACTGGTTAATTGTTCTAACTGTCAGGAAGTTTCTCCTTAGTTCTAAGTTGCTTCTTTCCTTGGTTAGTTTCCATCCATTGCTTCTTGTCCTGCCTTCAGGTGCTTTAGAGCAGCGGTTCTCAACCTGTGGGTCGGGACCCCATTTGGGGTCGATCGATCATTTCACGGGGGTCGCCAAGCAAGGCTGTGCGCCATTTTTTTTGTCCGCCATTTTTTCCCCTTTTCCGGCGGGTGCCTTACCTCCCTTGGGCTGGGCCAGCTGGTGGTCGGCCTGCTCCGTCTCTGCTGCTTGCCAGCTACGCCTCGGCTGGCGCAGGGGGCGGAACCACACATGCGCGGCACTCCCGGGCAGGGAAAGTCCTCGACTTACAACCGGTTGAGTAGTCCTTGACTTACGACCGGTTTAGTCCTCGACTTATGATCGGTTTAGTCCTCGACTTACGACCGGTTTAGTCCTCGACTTACGACCGGTTGGGGGTCACGGCATTAAAAAGGTTGAGAACCACTGCTTTAGAGAATAGCTTGACTCCCTCTTCTTTGGGGCAGCCCCTGAGATATTGGAACACTGCTATCATGTCCCCCCTCGTCCTTCTCTTCATTAAACTAGACATACCCAATTCCAGCAACCGGTCCTTATAGGTGATAACCCACAGTCCCCTAATCATCTTCGTTGCTCTTCTCTGTACTCTTTCTAGAGCAGGGGTCTTCAAACTTGGCCCTTTGGTGACTTGTGGACTTCAACTCCCAGAATTCCTCGGCCAGCGTGCCTGGCTGAGGAATTCTGGGAGTTGAAGTCCACAAGTCATCAAAGGGCCAAGTTTGAAGACCCCTGCCGTAGTTAATTGTGAATCTGCCTTTGCGCCTCGGGAAAGCTTATTATGCCTTTTGATGAAGTGTGCTCGCTGGGAAAGGGGCTACCAGAGCCCCGATTTTTCCCTACAGCAGAAAGATGAGCTCAGGCAGCTCCACGTTCCACCCCAACCAACTCACCCGGACACGCCCGGGCCCAGCCTTTTCCCTTCTCCCACCTGCCCCAACCCCCGGGCTCGCCAAGCTGCCTCACTCACCGCCGCACTCCCGGGCGTGGGCCCAGCTTGCCTCCGGCGCGCACGAGTCGACTCAGCAAGCTCAGCCGTCCCGCCGTTCGGCACAGAGGCCCGGCCATCCCGGAGGCCGCTGAGACCTCCACCAAGGTTATTTACGGTTGCCGGGTTGGCGGAAGCTCCCGGTAACCCGCGCTCTGATTGGCTGGAAGGTTTGCCTGTCTTTAGCGCGCTCCAATGGGAGCCCCGGAATAGTTCCTCTGACGGAACTGGACACGGGTTCTTTTAGAGCAGGGGTAGTCAACCTTGGCTCTTTTATGACTCGTGGACTTCAACTCCCAGAATTCCTGAGCCAGCTGTGCTGGCTCAGGAATTCTGGGAGTTGAAGTCCACGAGTCATAAAAGAGCCAAGGTTGACTACTCCTGTTTTAGAGTCTGGTCCAGGAAAAAAAAAGAGGGTCGTGTTTGGTTATCGCTCCCAAGTTATCCGCGGAGTGGAACCGGAACATTAACTGATAAAAAAATAAAGCAAAATTCTCCCAAGCTGGGCTAGATTCCTGGAACTGCATGGACACAGAACTCCCATGAAATCTACATCAAAGTCCAAGTAGTTTTATTGCAAATAATTTTTAAAAAGCCACCTCCTATCACTTTTTAAAAAAATACAATTTCAATTTAGCCCTGGTACTTCCTCCCATCCCACCGCTAACTCAGTCCTATTGTGCTTTGCTCTTCTGAGATCCGTCGAGGCTGACTGCTGCGGGCGGGACATGTTGCAAACATGCAGCAGAGGGTTGTCCTCCCTAATAGAGATGGCTAGAAATGGTTTAGTCCAGGGGTAAGCAACCTCGTCTCTTTTAGGACTCGTGGCTGGCTCAGGAATTCTGGGAGTTGAAGTCCACGAGTCATAAAAGAGCCGAGGTTGCCTACCCCTGGTTCAGTCTGTGGTGCCTGGTGGTTGCTAGGCAGCGAGGTGGTGGTTTGGATTCCGGTGAGTCAGGAGACAGGCAGAGGAAAGGGGTGACCGGGAGCAGCAGCCTACAAGAAGAAGGTGGGAGGCCTGTGCAAATATGATGGGTGAACAGTAAGTACAGCAGAACGAGATACTGCTCTGTTTCTTAGAAATTAAAAAGACAGATATATCATTGTTATGGATAGGGAAACTTCCCAGTAGAAACTTCCCAGTAGTATTATCATTTGCTTTTTTTGTGTGTTTTTGTGTTTATATGGTTAGCCTGGAGGATGAAACATGCAGGAACTGGGTATTGTCTAGTACAGGGGTTCTCAACCTTGGCAACTTTAAGACTTGTGGACTTCAACTCCCAGAATTCCTCAGCCAGCTTTGCTGGCTGAGGAATTCTGGGAGTTGAAGTCCACAAGTCTTAAAGTTGCCAAGGTTGAGAACCCCTGGTCTAGTACTCTAACCAAGAGAAGGACTAGGAGTTACTTGAGAGCAGTCTTCCAATATTTGAGGAGCTGTCACAGACAGGAGGGGGTTGCCCTAGTCTCCAAAACACCTAAGGGCAAGACAAGAAGATGGAAACTTATTTAGGAGAGTTCCAACCTAGAACTAAGGAGAAATTTCCTGACAGTGAGAATAATTAAACAATGGAATGGCTTGCCTCCAGAAGTTGTGGGTGCTCCCATCGCTGGAGGTTTTCAAGAAGATATTAGGCAACCATTTGTCTGGAATGGTGGTATAAGGATGGTGGTATAAGGATCTTGTTTGAGCAGAGAGTTGGAGCAGAAGACCTCCAGGGTCCCTTCCAATTCTGTTATACGGTTACTGTCTTAGCTAGCTAGTTAGTTGGCATGTTTGTATATTTTGAAATTATTTTGGGTGGCTTTTCAAAATCGATGTCTAAGTGTTTTTATCTTTAAATGGAAGTTACTTTGGGTAATCTACTTATAGGCCCTGATTTCCTTGTGGAAGAGATGGTTATGGATTATGGCATCGGTAGCACCCATGACCATCAATGACTACTCTACAGTGATTCTAAAAACATCCAGACAGGTGCCTTTAGAAGCTTTTAAACAAGACATGATAATGAACGATATCCCCCTGCTATTGACTCAGAGCAGTCATGCCCCTGACTCTAAGGTTCCACTTATTTGATTGATGGTTGTTGATTGATGAATGGAGCAGTCCTAACAAAGAATCAAGTGACAGATTCAGAAACAGCCTATGAGCTTCAGCTGCTCAGGACAAGAATTTCCAAACACAAGGAAATTAATTACAATAGTTTCAGAGAATGTGTAGAGGTGCACAGTTCTGATCTCCCTCTTGAGGGCCAGCAGATTCAAGGCTGACCATCCATGTTTCAGCATTTACCAATGGCAAGAAGTTTTATATCTGTGCTGCATGAATGCACCAGATTTAAACCAATAGCCTTCTGTTCTGGCTCCCTAACTTGAAAATAAAACAGTATATAAAATCTTAGTGTCTTGTGGCAACGGATTTCAAAAGTTTATTTTATCATTCTATGTTTTATAATTTATATAAATTAATCCAAAAGAGACAATTGTTTATCACTATTGGTATTACAAGTTACCTAACTTTTTTGGTATTCGAAATGCTTTATAGGAATTCTTTCTTTTTTGGAAGAAGAAAAAAAAGCATGTGAATGCTTTTTACATTTGTAGAGAAATTATTTGGGGAAATCGGGAGAGTTTATACTAATACAAATAGGAAATTTAGGAAAATCAGAAAGCAGTGATTTGGATTTAATCTTAAATTAAGCAGAGAGAAATGTGTACAAAATAAGTTACATTTAAGTTAAATTCCACAAATTTCAACAGCCCTTGACTAAGCCTGGATTCATCCCACTGTTGGAAGCAAAAACATTGTGCAACTACTTAAAACATTGATGAAATGTTTATGCGTTTACAAATGTGTCATTAATTGTTATTTTCTGTGATTAATGTTTGTGATCTAGGATGCCTCATCTCTGTCACACTATTGTACCATTATTGGCTGGCATTCATGAACACAATGTGATTTTTGTCGTGTACACTTCAGAATGTAATCCTTCCAATCCACATATCATGAAAGAACTTCTGATAAAAACTCTATATTCACTGGGTAGCAGACTAATGGATTCCATGTTCAATATCATCTGGTGTTCCAGCAAGGTAATGAAAAAGTTATGAAAGGGAACAAAAGAACTATTTCACTCTAGAGTGCTTCCACATAATGAAGTTTGTGTTGATTAGCACTCCAAATTAAAGCAATGCTATTTGTTAGTGCAGGGAGAAGGGGGCCTCCGTTTAAAAAAGATTTTCAAAATATAGCAACATTTATTCAACGGAGTAATGTTTGAAAGATGCAATGTTATAATAGCATTTCTGTTTTGATCCATTGAAGAGACAACCCATTTCTTCTCCAGGTGTTAAAATGGCAGAATGAATTGGTAGAATGTTCCCTCACCAACATCATGGATGCAGCTTCTTGGATCAGAACTCTGCAAATGAATAGCATGGCGAAAGCCAGTGCTTGGAATGCCATTGAAGAAGCAATAGAGGATCCCAGCTGCCAAGCAATATATCTGTTCACCAGCGGTTTGCCCGAAGGCTCTGTGGAAGAAATCTGTAGGCGCCTGAAAGAGACAAAGCAATTGTGTCCAGTGCATATTGTGCAATTGGTAGAAAATGGAGAGGACAATAAAATTAGCTGTCAAAAGCTATTGGTGAACGTAGCCAAGATGTCTGGTGGTTCTTTCCAAGCTATTGATGGAGCTTCCTGTGAGGTAAAATGACAAATGTCATTTTGAATCTGACCACTTGATTTGAGGGATAACTACTGTGACTCTTTGGTTAGCCAAAGAAAAGTAGTCTGATTTTGTTAAACTATATTCATTTGATCACATGAACATTCAGTCTGTTGAGTTACTTTTACAAAGGCTCATTTTTTTCCTTCACTGATTTATTTTAATGCCTTTATGAGGCATCCATCTCACAGCAGTTTTAAAGAACAAAAATAACCTTTATTAAAGTAGAAATTAAAATCAAAATTAATGAAACATTGTAAAAGCTATAAAATTCATATTTAATACAAACTGTGTATATTAAAAGGTAGAAGGAAAAGAGGACAAAAATGGTAATACTGTAGGAAGCTCTGGTTGAAGAAGTAAGTCTTTAGTAGGCACCTATGAATCATGATAGAAAATTCTTCATAAGCATCAGGGAGTTAACGGAGAGCATTCAGACATACTGAAAAGAAGAATTGTCTCGCCATTCATAGTATGACACTTTGATATTCTTAGTCATGAAGAAATGAACAATCTGTAAATCAACACATGAAATCAAATTGTTGGAAAGGACCCAAATACTGTGTAGTTTTACCAGTCTAAATTCCCCGAAGAATGTCAAATTATTGCTCTCTAATTTCTTCCATCCTTTTAGGATAAGACTGGCTGTAATTTAGGTTTTCATCATCCTGGTAGCATCGGCAATCATCTCAGCTTCCCTCCACTGACAGATCATTGCACAAAACTGTAAGTTTAGGCACCAATGAATTTTAATGTTATTATTAATCATTTTACCAATGTTGGAATAAAGATGTAAGTGCCAATAAGGCTGATACTTATTATTAATCCATTTATATCAGTAATCCCAATTCTCTGGTGAGCAATCTTGCACTTCCTAATGCCTGTTGGTTTCCTCTCTTACAGGTTTCCTTTGGGCACATGGAGTCCAGATACTTGTAACACGTGTTTAAGAAGTTCCATGCAAGAGAATTTAGGAGATTGTTCCACAAACAGCCATCATTTGCTGAGAGGGATTCGAGTCCTTGCCAGAAAACAGACAGATGGCTATTACTATCTTAGTCATATTGTCCAAAAGGTGAAGGTAAGCTTTTTTGCCTGAATTAGTAATTTTTCACTAATCATCTCAATATACTGTATAATGGGTTGAGGATCTATAGATGTTGCTCTATTGACTTCTTCCACCATTGGTTTTGTATGTGCTGTTGGGCTGAAACAGGTAGATCGTAAGTGGGTTTCATCACACCTGATTTTTAAAAAGACTGGGAAATTTTCCCATGTCAGCCAGACTTGATGGTCCATTTGGCTTGTGTCTTATACAAAAGTACCATTTTATAGGTGTCTCTTTGAACCAGGGTGGTGTGATTTTAAAGGTTATGAATTAGCCATTATCTTACGGCACAACTTTCCTCATAGGGCTGTCACTATGGAAATCAAATTGGAAATGGGAGTGCTGTGTGTACAGTCTGGAGTTTCTGGGATAGGACCATACAAATACATATTATAAAAGCTTTGGGGGACTGTATTTGTATTAAAGGCCAGGCTAAACAAAGCTTCTGCTACTATGGAAGAAGGTGCAGCAGGAAAGTTGCACATTGTCTCTTCCTTGAGCTGCCATGGGCCATTCATGAGAAATAATCTGTCTGAAAAGACTGCAGGATAAAGTTATTTGCCGAGGCTCTGGTGAAATATCATCTACGGTACTCTGTTTACGTTTATTCCGTTTGATGGTTCTGTTGTGCTGTGCAAACCACTTTAAGAATAATGTACTGTAAAGAACAAGACAAACTTAGTGTCTTTGAAATGGAAATATAGACATGTCTATATATTGGAGACGTGTGCTTCAAAATGAAGATGGTGAATATAAGATGACTCTATACAGATTTAGGGGGCACGATGACTCAGCGGTTAAAGATGCTGGAAAGCCGACAGCCCGGGTTCAAGACCCGAGTGCTGCATGACAGGGTGAGCTCCCGTTACTTGCCTCAGCTTCTGCCTCCCTAGCAGTTCGAAAGCATGCAAATGTAAGTGGATAAATAGGTGCCACTTCAGTGGGAAGGTAACCATGTTCTGTGTGCCTCAGCGTATAGTCATGCTGGCCACATGACCATGGAAGTGGCAATGCTAAGAAAGGCGATGAGCATTGCCCCCTAGAGTTGGACATAACTGGACAGGGGAAACCTTTACTTTTATACAGGTTTACAGGGCAGGATTTCTGGCTTCATTTCACAGGATTCCAATGAACATGTTCTAGTTGAGTTTGAAAGATGCCAGCGATCACGGACAGGTAAGACTCCATTTCGAAGGCAAGAAATGCCTCTGTATGACATTATCCATTACGATGATGCCAGGTGGCAGCCATTATCTGCAGGAGATGGGACCCTTGCTCCATGGGAGAAGAACGGCAGACGATATGGCCCAGGCATCGTTCTCCAAGTAGCAGAAACCAGGCCAGATTATTCAGGTATGGCTTAATTTGCCCTCTTTCCATTAAACATCTATTGCATTTTTACAATCCTTGCTCAGAAGACAAAGGGATACCACACTTGCCTCCTTTCAAAAGGGGAGGGGTGTGCTTGGAAAAATAAAGTAGAGGGAGGAGGGGAAATGGGGCTGCAACTGCTACTTTCCCTCCTTTTAATCTTCCACGCAGCCATCCAAAATGCATTAGGTTTATAAGGGCATTCACAAAAGGATGGCGGTGTTTCTTTGCAAATATTACATGGATTTTAGAATAGTCAACTGACTTTTCTTCTTATTATTATTACTACATGTAATTAAACATTTAATTATAAAAAATATCCTTAAATAGAAAATACCAGTGTTAACAACAATTATGCTCTAAAATAGTGGCAGATAGTCTCCCCCACCAGGGCAAAACTACTCAGCCTGTTTCTTGTTGGGGAGAAAGAATTAGCAAGTTAATGACTAAAACGGTTGACGTAAAACTTGTGAAAACTTAATCAGTTCTGAAGGACACCCCCCCCTTCCCTCCAAATTGCCCATTTATTCTGGTGACACAATTTTGGGTAGAAAAAAAAATGTTACAGTACAAGACGGTTGCCTATCCCTGGTTGCCTATCCTCCTTTAAAAGACTTCCATAGGGAAGCCTGCCAACTGAAACAAGAATCCACAGAGGAGCAATTATCTACTGATAGCGGTGGCTGGAGCCACCCCTAGCATAGCAATGAGACAGATGTTGTTTCCTTCTGAAATATGGCTCCCTTTGTGTTTCCCTTTACAGCTTTTCAAAATAGCAAAGTGCTGATTAACTTCTGGAATGGCCAGACCAAGACAATATCAGCAGATGTTGCTGTGAGGATCCCTCTTTTGTTGTATGAGCGCATTGTTCTTGAGCTTCAGATGCCATTGACAGCCAGGCAGCTGTTGGTGGAGCAGAATCCAGATTATCCTTCTGTTGTGCCACCTGGATACCGAGCTTCTGAACCTTGCAGGCAAAACTATTTGCCTTGGATGCCTTGGCCTCAGACTCCAAAGATCCATTGTATTGGTGTCTGTGGTAGCAATACTCATTTTTCTCCTTGGTCTTTCTGCTGTCCACTACAGAATCATAGTATAAGTTCAACATGGGCAGACGATACTTTGATACCAAGAGTCAGCCCATCAAAAGAGGAGTTGAGCAAGAAATTAGAAGACCAATTTTCAAAAGGCAAACCTCCCACTTTGGAAAATGATAAGGATGCAAAAGAAGATAGCAGCAAACTAAAGAAGGAAACAGATTTAGCAGATGCAAAATCTTGGGAAGAGAAGGAAATCCAAGTTGTAGAACCCAGTAAGGTACAAGATTATGTTGATTAGCTTATAGCTCACATCTCTGGCAAGAAATCTCCCCATGCCCTATTCCCCAAAGCAATCATAAGCTATTGCCAAATGTTGTTAAAAAAAATTCCTAAGCTGAACATCATGGGACAGTTAAGTATTTCCATCCTTATCATCTTTACTGTATTCAGTGGGACTTTTTTCTTGATTTTTGGTAGGACCAGAAAGCGATGGATTCGGAAGATACCATAAACAATACTGGCACCGTGGTTGATATAGCGACCAATACAGGCAAATGGACAACTCAACAAAAACAGAAATGTGTGTAACTATATTAAAAGAGATGTGGGGTGTTTTGGTGACTTGCTGATAGACATTGAAACTAATGTATCAGCATATTTTACCTTAATCTTTTGGGCACATCTTTCTGCTCATAATAAAGAGGAGGTCAGGAGATCTGGTGATGTCACTGATCAGCAGAAGGGCCTCTATTGCCCTCTCTCAGGAGAACAGTATTTTTGTGTATCTGGTATGAATGAGGCTCCAGGGATCCCTCTTTCTTTGGATTTGTACATGTACAATATTGCCATGGCTACATCGCATATTGTGTCGTTATGATACAGATGTGATTCTTTGTACTCATTTTCTTTTCTGATGAATTCTAAGTGCGATTATCCTTGAGAAAAAGGTTATTGTCCTTAACCTCAATGTTTTTAGAGACAACAAGCGAAGGAAATTGCATTAAAAACATAGAACATAGAAGAACAATCGATAGAAGAATCCTCATTTTTTTAAAAAAAGGGGGAACTACATTAAAGAGATCACTGTAAGCAAGGGTGAGGGACACATGTCCTTCAATTATCAACTAAATCCTGAGATAGCAAAACCAAAGAGGAGGAATACTGGTGGTTGCACCAGAGTAATATCTGAGGAGCCAGATTTTTCATTTCTTCAGAGACATCAACCACATAAAAGGAATGTAACTTAGGCCAAGTAGCCATCTATAGCTACATGATGTTTCCCCTTTTCAAATCAATGTCTTCATCATATCTATACCATTATTATTATTTACCTCTGCAATGAATGTAATTATCTCATATAACAGGTTTTTTACAGCCCAACCTGAGTGGATCTTTAACCCAGCTTTCCCAAAGAAATACTTCTCAGAAAACTTACTTTGCTAACAATTCCAAACTCCAGGATAAGCTTGACTGGGTGGACAGGTCACTGAAGAAAGATCGTTTAGCTATTGAATCTGTTTTGCACATGAGAAGGAGCTACAGTGCACCATCATCTGGACAGGTGAGAATATTCCTCCTCTCATCTATATAATATTACAGGAAAAGGCAGCTTTTGAAGACCACAGTTGTGCGTAGTTCATTTATGAAGTACTAGGCCTAAACCAGTGATGGCAAACCTTTTAGAGACTGAGTGCCCAAACTGCAACCCAAAACCCACTTATTTATCACCGGGTGCCAGGTGGGCGTGGCCCACTGGGTGGGCGTGGCTGCGGTGGTCATGGCAGACTGGGTGGGTGTGGCCAAGGTGGGCGTGGTCAGCTTGATGTTGCTTGTGGGGAGGGATGCCTGTAGGGGCCGGGAAGGGTTGGGGGAGATCCAGGGGGTCTCTGGCAGGTGGGGCAGTGGGCAGGAGGCTCGTCCTGTGGGGTGAGGCGAGACAAGACAAGGCAGGGCGGGGGGGAGGGAAACCAGCCGTGCTGGGATGCACCCGGCCACGTGAGACCTCGGTGAGTTAGCGGGTGGCTGATTGAAGAGGGACGGTTGCCATCTCTGGGGCATGGCGCGCGTGCCCACAGAGAGGGCTCTGAGTGCCGCCTCTGGCACACATGCCATAGGTTCATCACCACTGGCCTAAACCGTCTGAGGGAAAACTCAGCTTTGCTTTGAGGTGAAAACTAACAGACAGACTTGGAAAAAACTTACCCTGATATAAAGGGATCTTTTTTTCCAGAGATTAATAGAGAAGGAAGCCCCTTGGGATGGTCCCAGAGATGTGGATGCCAACTCAGCTAAGATAAACTTCAAATGGCAAAAGTGGGAGCAGAGACAGCTTAAGAAAGAGCAACAACAACAGGAAAGCCATCACAAAAGAGAGATGCGGCTTGAAAATAAGAGGTAATGGAGTGCTGTACCCCCCCCCCCCCCAGATTGGTTAGAAGAGAATAAACTGAAGCTACAGAGTTCTTCTGTGACTTTTGCTTTCAGTTCTTATTACTTATGGGAGATAATATTCTTTACAAATAGAATGTTCTTGCTTCAGCCACAAAATAAGAGATTAAGTTCCACCTGTGTCAAAAACTTGAGATCTCGTAGTCCTCATTGTAAAAATCGAAATAGTATTTATCACACATCATTCACATGTCGATAAAATATATGAAAATGGATCATAATTGTTAAAAGAAATAGTAACAATTCCTTTTTTCAATTGCCGTCCATGAACAAAGTTATTATGATTCTGGTGATGTTAAGATTTCATCTGTTCCTATTTAGTATTTTCCTATGTATGCTTTCCCTGGGATTGTATGAACCCTGACCATGTGAAAAATTAAACATGCCTAATTATGTTTTCTGAAATGATCTCATATAAGCCTAACTCTACAAAGGCTTGCAAACTTAAAATGTGAATTCAGAAATAAAGTTTTGATGCTCATTGTTTTATTTAGCATGCTGGGATGTGCTTATAAAGAAATAGGGTCTATTTAAAAAAAAACCAAACAGGTTAAAAACTGAGCTCATTCTTTAAACAGGCAGCAGTTTCTCCAGTGGACACTGCAAGGCTCACAAAAGCTGCAGGAGCAGAGTGACAGGGCTGAGCAGCATCTGGAGCAGCTGCGAGAGGCAACAGCAGAGAGGAGAAGGCAGGAGTCCCATTTGTGGGAAGAAGAAGGAAAGAAAGAGAACCAAAGGAAGGAATTCTTAAAGGCACAGCACAAGCAGAGGGAGAAGCAGCTGGCAAAATATAATCAAATGATTGATGACCAGGAAAAAAAGAGGCTGGTGAGAGCATGAGTCTGTTCTACTTTCCTCTTTTCCAAATTTCTGAAAAAATTCTTCGTACCGGGGGGGGGGGGGAATAGGGGAGATGAGGCATTATCAGGAAGAGTTGCCACCTCCGCCCAAGAAAATGTAACTTTCTGCTGAGATAAATGTTATGAGGTAAACATATGGCAGATCAGAGTCATTTGCATGGATTATTCTGACTGCATTTGAGGGCTCAAAAGTTGAAAGTGGGATGGATTTCAAATGTAGGAAAGAAATTAAATAGATTTTAGATTTTAGATTTTTTTAGATTTTATTAAATTTATTAAATTTATTTAAAGAAGCAAGTGTTTTCTTCATTTTTAATCAGAATTTCTGCTCAGAACCCTATGCTTGGAAATGTTGAGGGTTAATTATTCAGAATTAAGCAAATTTCATGTGTGTGTGTGTGTGTGTGTGTATACCCACACATGCACATACCGTATATACAACTACAAATATGTATATAAATTAAACTCTTAATTCTTGTGAACTTTAACTGGACAAAATAGTGCAACGTAGAGCAACAATTTTTGAACCAAGCTACCCTAAATTAACCAATGGATTAATTTAAAGAATACATCCAAAATCCAGGACCCATGACTCCCAAGGGATTGAAATTTGAGAAAGTTGTGGCTGCTTCAATGCTACAGGCTGCTGCTGGGCTGCTACTGCAGTCAAGTAATCTTCATTTTCAGTGACAGTTTCCAAGCCAATCTCATAGCACCTGCTGGGGATAAACCCCTTCTGGGTAGGGAAAGGAAAAGGAGGAAGGAAAGGAGGAACAGCGAGGTAAGTGTAATCAAAATCCTGCTTAATTACTACTCCAAAGCATACCTTATTACTGAAATTTGCTACTCTATATATTCTAGCAGCATTTGAATTAGTTGGAACTTTGAAGCAACTTGGCCAATTTGGGGGAAGTTGTCTTCTTCACGAGTTAAAACTTTCATGCTACATTTTCTTTCATTTATTTTTCTTTCAGTGATTTTTTTTAGATTTTTATCCTGCCTTTTTTTCATATGCAAATCAATGTGGCAAGCATATCAATACTCCTTCCTCTTTTCCACAACAACAGCAGGGATTATGTGAGATTAGTTGGACTGAGAGAGTGACTGGCCGAAGTCAACCAGTCAGCTTTCATGCCTAACATAGGACCAGAATTCACAGTCTCCGGGTTTCTAGACCGTAACCACACCAAACGGGCTCTCATAGAATCGCATTACTATTTTGTTAACAAGTTTGATGCAATAAAATGTCTTCGCAAAGAAGAATTGGTAGAAGAGCTGTAAACATGCAGAATAATCAAGTAATTTTATCTTCTTTTTCTATAGGCACTTCTCAGGAATAGAAAAGAAGTCATGCAAAAGAATGCAGAAATTGCCCTGAAGGAACAGGAGGCAGAAAATAAGAAGAAGGAAGCTGCCAATTGCCAGGGGTTCCAAAAGCGAGAGCAGATTTTACAGAATAAAGAAAAGGAGAGGCAGATGCAGAAAGGACTCCTACAGTATCTCAGGGAACAGGACCTCTTACTGCTCCGTGCTTCTATGCTACCATAGAATAAAGCAATTTCTGCAGCCAAGGCACTAAGAGTGTTCACAGATAATACCTTGTGAAATGGTTCTTCTGAGTCGGAAGCTGAGTGCTTACCTGAGAACTGGAGATGGTGTAGCAAATGATCACTGCTTATCATCCTTGTTTTCATTTTCATCTTAGTTATGTTCAAGCCACTTTTTCTGATTTTCATATTTCATTTCAATTATGCTTCAGCTTATTTCTTGAGAAACTGCAAAACTTCCTGGTCTTTCCAATACTCCCAGAAGCACCTTTGAAATGTATACTAAACTTAGAAGTGGGATTGCGCCAACCTCTTGAAATGTGGTCATGTCCACAAATGTATCCCAATATATTAAAAAAAAAACCTTCAGATTTATTTAACTAGATCAAAATTTGCTGTCAATACAGTTTAACTATTTTCTCCTTTTTAAAATTCTTCGGGGAAAAAGGATCATATGAGCATGTGCAGGTAGAGTTTTTAAAAATGTATTTCCTTTTCCATTCTCACATTACATTAAAGTTCTTTCTCCCCTTCAGATTATCCTTTTAATCATCAAGATATTTTAAAATAACTTGGCTGGAATAAAACTGGGTGATTAAAAGATATTCACTTCCAATCACTAAGTGCATTAAGCAGCGTTAAGCTTATTTCACCCTCTCTCAGCCAAACAGCAGATAAAAGGGAAGGATAACCTTAAAATGTACTAAAATTAACAGTGTATGCCAGGCCATATGCTTGATGTTAACCTACAAAGTTCTTAATGGTTTGGGATTAGAAGCACCTAATGGACTAATTTCATCACCAGTCAAGACATTAGTCTAATGCTCCTGCATTTTGGAGATTACTCAAGCTCTTATTGGCAACAAGGGTTTACGCTGCCTTCTGAGTTGGAATTGCCTTCATTGTTACAGATCTCTAATGATGTTCATCTTGTTCTCTATTTTGTAGGCTAAAAGTAAAATCTGCTCTGCTGCAATGACACAACTGTCAGGGAAGAACATGCTATAATAATAATAATAATAATAATAATAATAATAATAATAATAATAATAATAATAACAACAACAACAACAACAACAACAACAACAATAATAATAAAGTTGGAAGGGACCTTGGAGGTCATCTAGTCCAACCCCCTGCTCAGGCAGGAAACACTATACCATTTCAGATAAATGGCTGTCCAGTCTCTTCTTAAAAACTTCCAGTGTTGGAGCATTCACTGCTTCTAGAGGCAGGTTGTTCCACTGGTTAATTGTTCTAACTGTCAGGAAGTTTTTTCTTAGTTCTAAGTTGCTTCTCTCTTTGGTTAGTTTCCATCCATTGCTTCTTGTCTTGCCTTCAGGCGCTTTGGAAAATAGCTTGACTCCCTCCTTGTGAGCAGGATCACCACACACACAGAATTCTACACCAATAAGATTGACCATGAGCAACAAGACAAAGCCCTATCCCTAATTCTATAGGCCAGTATTCCTCCGTTTCAGTAACTTTACAGAATTCCCCAGCCAGCATTGAGAGTTTCCTAGTAATTAGGTGAAACTGTACTGCTCTGGTTGTTGTCTCTCTTATGGGTAATAATAGTCTGGATTTACCAGCGTGTACTTCGGGCCTTTTGAGTAGTTTCCTGAAAGCCCAAATTCAGATTAAGGACCTCTAATATGATTACTCCCCTAAGAAACTTTTAGTTGTGCACTGTTACAATAAAGCCACCTTTCCCCAAATTTCTTTTATACTGTTTTCATTGTAGATTTGTGTTCATTTTGACTTTTTAGGGGAAGTGCAATGGTAAAAAAAAGTTTAGGAATCCCTTTTCTAGGGCCCCCAAGCTGTGTATCTGTGTTGTTAATGTTTGCAGTGCAGTTTACTATATTAATCTTATTTTCATGGGTGCACATTTTTAGGTTTCTATTGTCCACCTGAAATGCCCACTTGGGCAGAAAGATGGAATATTCATTGCCATATGTCTGGGACTTGTTTGTAATGTCATGCTTTTGATCTGAACAAGCAAAATTCAAAAGGAAATTTTTAGAAAACCTGTTTCTTTCACTTACACAAAACCAGTACAGAAGCAGACTGAAAAAACATTTCTTGCCAAAAGCTTTTTATTAATTCATCCAACTTTCCCAACATCAGTAGTTAGAAATATATTCTTCTAAAAATATGTCTCTATATTAGTAAAAAGAAATGTGGCTAATAATATTTTGGAACATAAACGACTGCATATTAATTCACTGGAAATTACAATAATCATTTTAACCATGTTAAATCCTTGATGCTTTCCAGAGCAGTCTCTCTACAGCTAAGACAGCTGTATGCTGATACAAATCTGAGAGAGAGAGAGAGAGAGAGAGAGAGAGAGAGAGAGAGAGAGAGAGAGATGCCATCTTTGTTTTCCATTGTCCATTGTCCATTGTCTTGACATGGGAGTTGGACAAGTACTGAACCTGTAAATGGGTTTGGTGCAACGTAAGGAATTTTTTTGTGTACCAGGAAACAGAACAAATCATGTGTTGGCAGAAGGACTAGAATGCATCTAGAGATGCATTTAATGTCAGCATTCTGAATCAAACTCTTGCAGTTCTTTCTTACCAGAATAGTCCTATTCATTCTAACTGAAGCAGATGAGTACTCCTTAAAGCATTAGACCTTAGTTTCCAAATTCAAAGGTCAAAGTGCATAGCATCTGAAGAGGTTCTCAGTTTTCAAATGTAAACTCTGACAACAAGCTTCTCACTAAGGGAAGGGTTCTTCCTAATTTGGTGGATTGATGAGAAGAGGTTTAGCTGCCTTCAGAACATCCAGATCAGGGTCTAGGGAGCGACCGAGACCTTCCAAAACCATTATGGCAAAAACAACACAGGCAAAGTTGCTTTCCAATTTTACCTAAAAGCACAAAGATTAATAAAACAGGTGAAAAAAAATCAGCTATTTGTTATAAATAAAAATTATATTCACATTTTCAGACTGTTTTTTTTATAAAAATGTTTACAATAGGAATTAAAACAAATGCAATAGTTTGTAATGGACTTTCTGAGGAAACTGGCAGAGAAGACTGCAAATAGCGATCATATGATCGTGGGGTTCTTAGCAACTTTATAACAGAGTGACAGAGTTGGAAGGGATCTTGCAGGATCATCTAGTCCAGGGGTGTCAAACTCAATTTCATTGAGGGCTGCATCAGCATTGCGGTTGCCCTTGGGGGGCCGGGTGGGTGTGGCCAGGGTGGGTGCGGCCTACTGGGTGGGCGTGGATGGAGTGGATGTGGCCTGCTGGGTGGGCGTGGCCAGTTCTACATCGTTCGTATCAAGGGTGCCTCTGGGGACCTGGGCAGGAGTGGGACAGATCTGAGGGTCTCTGGCAGAAGGGGGTGGGACCGGGGCAAGCACCAAGACATGGTGCATTTCTTCATTCCTCACAAAGGGTGACACCTCCCCAGCATGCACCCAGGGGGCGGGGCCAACGTGGCAGGGGCTGGTTCCTCGCTGTTTCTGGACAGCCTTGTGGAGCTAAGACTGAATGCATTTCAGCATAGATGGCCACCACAAAATTGTACATTGGCTCCCGGCCGGCCTGGGCCAGGGCCAAGGCAGTGGGGGCCGTTCTCTCACTGTTTCCAGGATTGCTTCGCGGGCCACATGAAACCACTTTGCGGCCTGCATCCGGCCCCTGGGCCTTGTGTTTGACATGTCTGATCTAGTCCAACCCCTTGCTCAAGCAGGAGACCTTGTACCATTTCTGACAAGTGGTTGTCCAGTCTCTTCTTGAAAGCCTCCAGTGATGAAGCACCCACAACCTCTGAGGGCAAGCTGTTCCATTGGTTGATTGTTCTCACTGTCAGAAAAATTCTCTTTATTTCTAGGTTGAATCTCTCCTTGATCAGTTTTGTATCTATTTTCTACTTGCGTCTACTTGTCGTAGATGGAAACAGGTTCCCAAGCACCCAGACAGCAATCACGTGACTACGGGAAGTGGGCTGTAGAGTGACATTTTATGTCAATCAGAAGTACTTTATGGCCCCTAAGGCACCTTTTTCCAGGCCATTGTAACTTTGAATAATCATTAAACGACCAGTCATAAATTCAGGACCACCTATATTGACTATTTTCAGCAGTCAAACTTTTCTGGGACTTTGTTTTTGTACCACAGCATCCAGAAACACTAGATATGCAATGCTTTACATGAGATACACATCCTGCTTGTTACATGGCTTTAAGCCACTGTGAAAAAGTTCTTACACGTAAATGATCTCACCTGATGGATCATAAGTAACCTGAAAACACTGGATAATAAGCTGGCAACTTGAAACTGTAGTAGAAAAAATAAAATAAAAAATACAATTCAATTGATCAGGGCATCATAATAAGGAATCACGAATTCAAATATAGCTTAGAATCATGCCAAGGACTGGAAAACAGATTTTCAACATTACTGAAGTGTGTTTAGAATTTGTGTGTATAATTTCTGTCAGACAAAGAGCCAAATAAGGCTTCCAGCATCATTCTGAACAACTCAACTCAACTCCCAGAGCAAGACCCAAAATAGGCCTGATTTTCTTTGGGGGGAGGAGTGCTAACCTTGCCCTTTAAATCCCCCTCCTCAAATGCCAAAAATGGATTCTAAAGCTCTGTAGTGGCAGCCCCTGGCGTAATACTTTTGTATCCCAGACTTGGATTATAGGAAGCAGTATACTTTTATCAGATCATGTTCTGTGTACTCCTGCGTTACTGACACTGACTGGCAACGATCCTTCTTAAAATATTTCTGTTGAAGTTTAAAATTATGAAGATTAAAAAAATACAAACTAAGAAGATTATAAATAAGAATAAGTAGAAAGTACAAAAAGGGAAAAAAGATGGAGAGGGGAAAATATGAAAAATTATGGAAAAAATATGAAATCAAATTTACCAACCCTAGGCAAAATGAGGATAAGAATTGGCACCATCTGAGCTTATCTCTGGTTCCCTGGGAAGCCCAAGCCTAATTATATAACCAAATCTTGAGGGACTTTCAGAATATCAAAAGGAATGGAGCTAATTAATTTGGGAGGGAGGCATTTCTCCTGGGAATCACCAAATATACTGTAGGTCTCTGGATGATTGTACCCAGAGCATGGCTTCTCTGCCCAGTGTCACGGGGCAGGCCATGCATTGTGCTCAGAGCACACTGAAATAGAAGCTGACCTTCTCCAGTGCAACAGCATTGCTTCTAGCCCTTGTCACCAATTCTGCCATGTCAGCCTTGAATTTCTCGACATCCTTGCACTGGTTAGCTCTGGAGTGATGAAGAATCAATTCAGCCACTTTTTCTCCCTAGGGAATAAATTAGATTTTATGGAGGTGGATTCAAGGCATGGTGTTTGCTAAGCAAACCTCCCCACTTTCAAGGAATTTCTCCCCCAGCCCCTGCTCCTCTCCAATATTTGTCTTTATTGGAGTTCTTATTCCAACATAGTTAAGATCAAAATATAACAGGCCAAGTAGAACCTAAAGAGTTTTGGTGCAAACATATAGCTACCCCTGATTTTTTTTAACCATGGAGTAAATCCTGATCCAAAATTCATGATTTCTAACTCTAGTTAAAGGCTTTCTGGTTAGTTCAACCATAATTAGTACTCATTGAGATTGATGATGATAATGATGATGATGGAAGGGACCTTGGAGGTCATCTAGTCCAACCCGCTGCTCATGCAGGAAACCCTATACCATTTCAGACAAATGGCTGTCCAGTCTCTTCTTAAAAACTTCCAGTTGGTGCATTCACTCTTTTTCTGGAGGCAGGTTGTTCCACTGGTTAATTGTTCTAACTGTCAGGAAGTTTCTCCTTAGTTCTAGGTCAGTGGTGGCGAACCTATGGCACGGGTGCCAGAGGCGGCACTCAGAGCCCTCTCTGTGGGCACGCGCGTGGTAGCCCCAGTCCTAGGCCTTCAGCTGGGTTTTATAAAACCTTTTCACTTTAGGCCTCCGCCGCCATGTGCAAAAAAAAAAAGGGGGGGGTTCAATCAGTCAATTTCAACTTCTCGCGGGAAAAAAAAGTTCTTGCAAAGTTGGAATTGATTGATTGAACTTTTTAGTCCCACCCAGTCTGCCGTTACCACTGCAGCCGTGCCCACCCAATTGGCCACACCCACCCAATGGGCCACACCCACCCGGCACTCGACAATGCATAAGTGGATTTTGGGTTGCAGTTTGGGCACTCAGTCTCTAAAAGGTTCGCCATCACTGTTCTAGGTTGCTTCTCTCTTTGGTTAGTTTCCATCCGTTGCTTCTTGTCCTGCCTTCAGGCGCTTTGGAGAATAGCCTGACTCCCTCTTCTTTGTGGCAGTCCCTGAGATATTGGAACACTGCTATCATGTCCCCCGTCTTTCTCTTCATTAAACTAGACATACCCAATTCCAACAACCGTTCCTTGTATGTTTTAGCCTCCAGGCCCCTAATCATCTTTGTTGCTCTTCTCTGTACTCTTTCTAGAGTCTCAACATCTTTTTTACATCGTGACTAAAACTGGATGCAGTATTCCAAGTGTGGCCTCACCAAGGCATTGTAAAGTGTTATTAACACTTCACGTGATCTTGATTCTATCCCCCTGTTAATGCAGCCTAGCACTGTGTTGGCTTTTTTGGCAGCTGCAGTTGTTGGGTCCTCATGGTAAATTACAACATGCCATTATTTGCTTGATTTTCATTAGCATGTTTGGAAACCCAACCAATGATTCTGGAATTCAGGAATTATCATGTGCAAACCCTGAAAATATAACGTATTCAAAAACCTATGTCTCAATACAATGTGTGAACCATGTCTCTAACTCAACATAATAGACCTTTTATGAGGCACAACACTGGAGAGATGAATCACGAAAAGCACGCTATACTTTTCAAAGAGTAGATGTTTTCTTCTGAACTTTTGAAACTATCTAAGTCACAGTTTAAACTCAGAACTCACCTGCCCTAATACAATAGCAGTGAACACTGCCCGGAAGTTCTCCAGATCTCCACTCTGCAACTCAGCTACAATCCCTGCATCCAGAAGCACTAGACGGAGTGGTGAGGAAGAGGGTTGTAATTCTACAATTAATGTATCCAACAGATCCACTATGACTGCCCCATCTTCAGGATGATCACCAAACTGTTCTGCTCCCTGTACCAGGATATTCCCAGGATGCAGATCAGCATGGACAAAGTTATCAACAAACACCTGAATGATTGAAAAACAGTTTGTTAAAAAAAAAGTTACACCTTCTTGTGGCAAGTAATTCATATTAAGAAGCCATTATCTAGCATAGGATCACTGTTTTCAACAGCCTCTATTGCAGTGTTTCTCAACCTTGACAATTTTAAGGCATGTGGACTTCAACTCCCAGAATTCCACAGCCAGCATTGTTGGCTGTGGAATTCTGGGAGTTTAAGTCCACATGCCTTAAAATTGTCAAGGTTGAGAAACACTGCTCTATTGCCTCTGAGTGCAGTTGATTTGGCAAGCCCCCTCTAAATCATTTTTGCTTAAGGATTTTTGCTAAATATTTTATGTATTTAAGCAAATTTCCTGGGGAAAATCAAGCAATTTCCTCTCAGGCCTCTAGCTTCTATCTCTTGTGGGTGTAGGTTTAAAAGGGGTTATTTTGGCTACATAAGCAAGGCCACACTTACTTAAGCAAGAGTAGCAGAGGAAGCAAATGGAAGCCACAAAAATGTCTATTTTCATTTTGGATTCCAAACACTGTTTTAGTCCCTGTCCTTTCCGTTTCTATCCCCACCTAGCAACATGTTCCATTTTCACTGGGCTGTTTCTTTAGGAAGGCTTTACCATTTAGTGTTTTCCTTCCCAAATAGGGAATTGTTGCTTTGTCATTCCAGCTCCCAGACAAGATCTATCATGCCTGGTCTTCACTTGCCAGCAATTTTAAGAGCAGAATTCATTATGTAGCATAATTTATTCAGATTGCACCATTGGGATTACTTGGTTTTAAAAAATAATACTCCATATGATTTTATTACAATATAAGCTAAATTGAAGAAACTGGCCAAGAACAGCTTAACAATGTTCTCTTACCATCTTTAGAAGCATATCCATTCCCATCTTGGCTATTTTTTGCCGTAGTTCCATTTTGGTATCTATGTGCAAATATTGGGATATGGGTTTGCTCTCCTTAAACAAAGATCAGGAAAATCAGGAAAATCGATATTTGCTTGCCAACAAATATTTCAAGAATATGATGTATGATGAAACATGAGGTCTAAAAGTCTTATCTAGTATAAACATTATCTAGTATGGGCTGCAGACTATGACCAGGCTTCTGCATTAAAATATAAGCCAGTGGTTCTCAACCTTTTTAATGCCGCGACCCCAACCGGTCGTAAGTCAAGGACTAAACCGGTCGTAAGTCGAGGACTAAACCGGTCGTAAGTCGAGGACTTTCCCTGCCCGGGAGCGCCGTGCATACGTGGTTCCGCCCCCTGCGCCGGCCGAGGCGTAGCTGGCAAGCGGCAGAGACGGAGCAGGCCGACCACCAGCTGGCCCAGCTCAAGGGAGGTAAGGCACCTGCCGGAAAAGGGGAAAAAAATGGCGGACAGCCTTGTTTGGCGACCCCCGTGAAATGGTCGATCGACCCCAAATGGGGTCGCAACCCATAGGTTGAGAACCGCTGATATAAGCCATTATTTGTCAGCACTGCAAAGATGCTGCCTCTCAGCATTACCCCTATGTAGTTATAATGGCATTCATGTCCAGTGTAGAAACACAGTGTGGTTTTGTAGCCTTTAAAGCTTAAGCATCTTTAATGAATGCAGTTATCTACAGATCTGCTTCTGGAGAAGTGTTTTTCTTTCATGTACTCCTAGTCTTGTGATCCTCTTTCAAGGAGCTAAACCATTATTTATTTCATCCTGAGTAACAGACATCCAGCCCTCAAATCCCAAATTACACATAATGAAAAGTCTATGTAAGCCAAGAGTGTACCGATGTCTGTGGAGATTCTCAATCATCCAGGTCAAAAGGCAACTTGACTTTCCTGATGTTTTCTTTGAAAACATTCCACTTCTCAACCAATAACTTCTTCAATTCTTCAGAAAAAGCTTCTTGGATGAGAAGCTAAATGTTTTCAAAGAAAATGCCAAGAAAGTCCAGTTGCCTTTTGGAAAAATAAAAACATTTTTGGGCCAAAGGTGTACCCTTTGAGGCCAAGGATACCTTGCTTCCTTCAAAAGCTTAGGTACAACACTGATGATCTTTGAAAAGGTTGCCACTGAATAACCATCAAAGTGACAGAAGAAAAAAAGTATTAAATAATGTAAGATAATATTCATATTTAATACAAGTTAATTTAAATTAAATATTTTCTCTGTCTTTTTTACCATTTTGTTGTTGTTATTTTTCTGACTCTGCCTCTATTTTTTGGAATAGTCTCCAGCTTAGAGAGATCTTCCATCAAACAAAGTTGAACACAGAACTAGTTAATCAGCACTCTTGTATTTAAATAGAGGGAAGTTTTTAAGTTTTTCTCAACTTTTTGCAATCCTGCCAAACTTTAGCCCCTCAAGCCGGTAAAATTTGGGCAGAAGGGAAGTGAGAATCCATTGATACCGATGAAGTGATGAGCTTTCCTGACTCATGATATTAACAGTTTCTAAATATTCATAAAATTAGTTAAGATATATTTTTGTTAACTGACAGAGATGGAAAAGTGGAAATTCCAGATGTTGCTGAACCAGAACTCCTAGCATCTCTATTAGGCTGGGTAGAAGCCTATCCCTGCTTCATGTAACCAGTATTCTTACCTCAAAAGTTTCCACCAGGATATTTTTTGTCACAAATGGGTGCAGAGGAAGGGGAAACCTCACATAATCTGTACCTTGGAAATTCAGATGGAAGTGTTCTAGGTTTTTTGCTTCATAGCGCAAGTCAACCTAAAAGAAGTGAAGAAAAAAAGGATATGTACAAGGATCACACATTCTTACTACACTAAGATAACCATATTCAAATCCTCATTTAGCCATAAAACTATTCAAGAACTCTGGGCCAAAGCCTACTTAATAGCCTAAGCTTCTTTAGAACATTGTTGGGTTTCCTACTTAATAATAACAAAATAAATAAATGAAACAATCTTATGAACAAGTATTGTCTTGTGCTACAATCGGTAATAATATGGATAACAAAACTGTTCAGATTGCTGAACAGAATATATCTTGATAAAAGGTTACACCTGGAATAAATCACCTGGATCATAGGCTTCTCTTTCCATCTACAGCAGAACCAAAATCACTTGATGTGCATCATGATGTCACAACAAAAAATCTGCCTTGTGACACATCTGGATTACAAGTGTCAAATTGTCCAAATGTCTTCCCTTCTCCTTTCTAGAGATATTTATAGTTGTTTTTGGTCTCACACAACAAACTAATACTGTATTTGGTCATATTTTCTTGCTGAAATCTTAAATATTTTTTTTAAAATATGACTAAGTACATGGAAAGTTTAAAACACGAAAGTCACATGAAATAAAATATTTGGTAATAAAATCAATCTGGGGGAAGCTATAGGTTTGCAGGAGGCCAAATTTGTATTTATTTACTAATAAAAATCCAATAAATAGGGATGGAAGGAACAGCTAAAAAGTTGATACAAGGTACCGGTTGATGGAGAAGATACAGAAAACCAAAATTAATACCAAACATTAAATTCTTCTAAAACTTTATAGGCCCTCCTTATTTAGAAATACTAATCCTATGTCAGTTGCAATAATGTGAAATGAAATTCCACAAATTGAAGGCTGTGAAGTATAAATAATGCTTCTCATAGAGCAGTGTTTCTCAATCTCAGCAACTTTAACACATACTAGTTGAAGTCCACACACCTTAAAGTTCCTGAAAATGAGAAACACTGGCTTAGAGAGACATGAGGGCAGAAAATAAAATAATAAAACAAAACTATAAGCCAAATTTCAAGGCAAACTGTTTCTACCTGCTGAATCATGAGTTTCTCAAACTCTTCCACAATCTCAGTCACACTGAGCCACCTAATTCCAGGGAAAAGCTCAAGAAATCGACTGCCAATTTTCATGAGAAATAAATCCATCTGGACCTGCTGAACTAATCCAGGATGCAGCACCTAAGCAAGACACAAGACAAACAATCTCTTATGAACAAACACCCATCACTGTCAACAATTCAGGTATTGTGATGATATGGTCCATACTTCCAGATTTTATTATTTATTGTATGGGGATTGTAATACTGTCAGGAAGCTTCTCTGTTCTTATGAATTCTGGTCTTTATTATTTGTGGGACAAAGTCTCTCAAACTTGGCAATTTGAAGATGTGTGGACTTCAACCCCCAGAATTCCCCAATCGAAAGTTGAAAAACACTGTTCTGGGCTATTGAAATA